TTCCCCCTTTTTCTTCCCCTTCCCCTTTCTCTCCTTTCTTCCTTCTCTACCTCTTTCTTTCTTCCTTCCTTCCTTTTTTTACTTTTTTTTTTTTGCTCTTTGGTTTCATCCTTCCTTCTCTCTTTCCTTCATTCCTTTTTCTACTTCTTCCTTTGTCTCCTTTCTTCCCTCCCTGTTTCCTTCCTTCTTTCACTTTTTATTTCATTTTCTCCTTCCTTCTTTACCTCTTTCCTGCCTTTCCTTCCCTTTTTCTTTCCTTTCTACCTTCTCTTCTTCCTTCCTTCGGTACCTCTTTCTTTCCTTCCTTCTCTCCTTCTTTTCTTCCTTCCTAATGCCCACCAAACCCTTCTTGTGTTTTCTGTTGGTCATGGGAGTCCTGTGTGCCACGTTTGCTTCAATTCCATCATTGATGGATTTCAGAATGCTCTTTGATTGTAGGTGAACTATAAATCCCAGCAACTACAACTCCCAAATGACAAAATCATAATTTTTTGAGTGATGGTCACTCCTTGTGTTGTGAGATGCTTTGTTGCCAAATTTGGTGTGATTTCGTTCATTAGTTCTTTTGTTTTTAAGGTACTCATTATGGACAGAGCATATAGATAGATAGATAGATAGATAGATAGATAGATAGATAGATAGATAGATAGATAGATAGATAGATAGATAGATATATAGATTATTTCTTTTGATGTTTTTGCCAGTTTCTTGGGAGTTCAAGTTAACTGAGAGTCTATCGTAATGACACATTTTATATTTTACCTGCTGATCCCCAAGGTTCAAGACACATTGCTATATAAATAAAATACAATCAATAAAGAACACACAGATGAAAACACATAGACAAAAAGTTAAAACTCACATTAAAATCATTTTCCAACAGACTTCACATGCCTGCCATAGATGCAGGTGAAACATCAGGAGAGAATTACAACTAGAACATGGGCACACAGCCTGAAAAACCTACAACAACCCAGTGATTCCAGCCATGAAAGCCTTCAACATTAAAATCATTCAAACCAATGAAATGACAATTTAAAGATTACAGTCTAAAATTGACTGGGTCGGTAGGCCTGCTGGAAGAAATAAGTCTTGAATTCATCTTCAAATTTGGCAGCTGAATCTCTTCCAGCAAGTCATCCTACAGCCTTGGGGAAGCCAACAAAAAGATCTTCTGGATGATGCTTGCCTTTGCAGTTCTGGATGATTGCTTTAACTATCCCCCAAAGGACTTGAGTGTACGGGGAGGATTGTATGGGAGATGGCAATCTTGCAGGTAAACTGGACCTAAACCATGTAGGGCTTTAACAGTAACAACCAACATTTTGTAGTTGGCCCAGAAACTAATTGGCAGTCAATGTGTTCTCAAAGGCTTTCATGACCAGAATCCCTGGGTTGCTGTGAGTTTTCCAGGCTGTATAGCCATGTTCCAGAAGCATTCTCTCCTGACATTTCACCCACATCACAGCATATTATTTGAGAACACAGAAATGCTGGACTACTAAATGCTAACAACTAACATGTCAGACTACACAGAGAAGTTATTGAAATCCACAAGCATGTGGACAATTTCAACAAAAGGAGGAAAAATGAAAATGAACAAAATCTGGCTACCAGTATTTAAAAAGACTCTAAAATCAGGACAGTAAATAAAGAAGAGCATTCATAGAAACAGGGGAATTCCAGACAAGAATCAATTATGACCAGCTAACACCTCCCAACAAAGGAGCCCCTCCAGACAGCAACCAGCCAGGCTTTGAAGCTGCAAATGCCAATCAAGGTGGCCAATTGCAACATTCACACTTGCCTCCAACAGACAAGAGTTCATTCTCTCACCCTGGACATTCCACAGATATATAAACCTCACTTGCCTAGTTTCCAATAGACCTCACAACCTCTGAGGATGCTTGCCATAGATGCAGGTGAAACATCAGGAGAGAATGCTTCTAGAACATGGCCATATAGCCTGAAAAACCTACAACAACCCAGTGATTCCAGCCATTAAAGCCTTTGACAAATCCAGTAATTGGCAGTCAGTTCTAATACTGGTGTGATATTTGGTTGGGATCTGTCTCCCAAGAGCTATTTGGGTGGGACAGCATGGAAAGCCAATGCAATCTGATGTTTAAGGTACTTTTCTAAGACTAGGAAGACTTGGGTTTAAATCCTCACACAGCCAGTTCGCCAGATATCAGAAAAAGACATCCAAATGTCTTTGTAGCTAACCAAAGTGAGTGGGCATCAAGACGAGGCAGATTGTCCTTTCGTGCTAGACTGCATGGTGCAGCTGTGAATATAAACAGTTCTGAATGCAGCTATTGAATGGTTTGTAATTCATGGCTGGGAAACCAAATCACCGTAGCAACCTCAGTCGCCGTTCCCCAGTATGAATATTATTTGAAGGAGGGAGATAGGGAGAATATTGGGGGGAAGAGAATAAAAAAGCAGATCTTTTGACACAATATTGTTTACAGCAGCAACAAAAAGCTATTTGCTTTCCAATATTTTTGTTTCATGAGCGTGCACTCACTAGACAATCAAACGTTCTAAGAATGGCTTAGCATTATGGTTAAAAATGATGTTATTCGTCGGAAAGGGTCATCTCGGGGCACAACAAATCCCGGGGAGATGCTTTCTACTCAGGCACTTGGGTGAAGCCGAAATGCATTAACAAGAAAACACAGACGGGGTGCCGAGAGGGACACGCTCTGTCACATAGCCTCGTTCTTTCACAAATGTAGAAGCGTTCCCAACCAAACACACCAGGGAGCTCAGCTCAGCTTCTTACTACAAAGTGACTGGATGCTTTGGTCTTCTTAGAAAACAGTATGCAGGCAGTCCCCAACTTACAAACAAGTTAGGTTCCATAGGATTGTTCTTAAGTTGAATGTGTATGTAAGTTGAAACAGGTACATTTTAAAGTCTAATTCCAGACAAAAAATATATACATATTAGCTTTGGATAGCACAGGGAAGGGTTACAACCCTGTGGTGTTTGTTTTTCTGTCTGTGCCCCTGTTCAGAAGATTTCACTTCACTTCCTGTCTCTGATAAACCAACACAGCATATTATTTGAGAACACAGATATGCTTTTATTTATCATGTCATCAGCAACCATTGTATTACAATTCTAACAGAGCAAAACAAACACACAGATTAAAAAGAAAAAGAAAAAAACACACAGATTTTGCAAATTTGGTAGTTGGTTAAATGTCCTTTGACCAGTATCTGGCCACTTGGAGTGCCTCTGGTGTTGCCGCAAGAAGGTCCTCCATTGTGCATGTGGCAGGGCTCAGGGTGCATTGCAGCAGGTGGTCAGTGGTTTGTTCTTCTCCACACTCGCATGCCAAGGATTCCACCCTGTAGCCCCATTTCTTAAGATTGGCTCTGCATCTCGTGGTGCCAGAGCGCAGTCTGTTCAGCGCCTTCCAAGTCGCCCAGTCTTCTGAGTGCCCAGGGGGGAGTCTCTCATCTGGTATCACCCATGAATTGAGGAGCTGGGTTTGGCCTGCCACTTTTGGACTCTCGCTTGCTGGGGTGTTCCAGCGAGTGTCTCTGTAGATCTAAGAAAACTATCTTGATTTAAGTCGTTGACGTGCTGGCTGATACCCAAACAAGGGATGAGCTGGAGATGTCTCTGCCTTGGTCCTTTCACTATTGGCTGCTACTTCCCGCAATGTCAGGTGGTGCAATACCAGCTAAGCAGTGTAATTTCTCCAGTGGTGTAGGGCGCAGACACCCCGTGATAATGCGGCATGTCTCATTAAGAGCCACATCCACTGTTTTAGTGTGGTGAGATGTGTTCCACACTGGGCATGCATATTCAGCAGCAGAGTAGCACAGCGCAAGGGCAGATGTCTTCACTGTATCTGGTTGTGATCCCCAGGTTGTGCCAGTCAGCTTTCGTATGATATTGTTTCTAGCACCCACTTTATGCTTGATGTTTAGGGACCACTCTCACAACCACCATGTCAGACTACACAGAGAAGCCACTGAAAGCCACAAGCATGTGGACAATTTCAACAGAAAGGAGGAAACCATGAAAATGAACAAAATCTGGCTACCAGTATTAAAAAACTCTAAAATGGACAGTAAATAAAGAGCAACACTCAGGAACAGGGAATTCCAGACAGGAAACAATCAAGGCAAGCTAATCCTCCCAACAAAGGATTCCCCAGGCATAAGAAGCCAGGCTTTGAAACTGCAAGGCCATTCAATGCTAATCAAGGTGGTCAATTGCAACATTCACACCTGCCTCCAATATAGAAGAGTTCTTTTTCCCACCCTGGACATCCCACAAATACATAAACCCCACTTGCCTAGCTTCCAACAGACCTCACAACCTCTGAGGATGCCTGCCATAGATTTCGGCAAAACGTCAGGAGAGAATGCTTCTGGAAAATGGCCATACAGCCTGCAAAACTCACAACAACCCAGAAATAAAGTTTATTTTTGTACTGGAGCACCATGGTTTTCAAAAGATATCATGTGAACAGGTACTCACGTTTCTTTTCACCAAAGTGCAGGAGCTGTTTCAGGCAGCAGATTGCAAATATCACAGAAGGGTGACAAATTGTTTATCATTAAATTTGTTATTGTTATAATACTGTTGTCAGGGAGGGACAGAAGTACTTTAGGGATTTTCTGTCTTGTATGTCAAAGTAATGTGTTATATTCCTTGTTTTCGGCACATAATAGCAAAAACAATTGATGTGTTGGATATCAATTGCTGCTCTCTCTTAAGAAGCAAAACTGCTTGCGCCAAGGCTGAATGCTTTCTTCAAAAGATCAAAAGGTAAGGAGACACTGAAAATATCTCTACGGTTTGTGTATGTGTGTGTGCACATATGTAGCAACCTAACACAGCAATATCTATATAATTAAGCTGACTACAGCGATTCAATTTCTAGTCCTGCTGCAGCACCATCTAAACTTTTCCCAGGGTTTTTTTTTTTTTGCATTGTTTGTTGCTATTTATCATGGTAATAATAGTGCGCTTACCATATTTGTCAATGAATGTGATGACTGAACAAAGACTGACACAACCTGAAAGAAACAAAGGAAGTTAAGAATATGGTCCTATAAGAATATGGTCCTTTAACAACAAAAAATTACGTTTTAAGAAATTAAGCACCTCATTGCTGTCAAACAAGATAACATCCCGGGCACATGGAACATGGCCTTGGTCCCAATTGGAGATAGATTCAAAGTTGGTGTTTGGAATCCATTGTTTGTAAACAGCACTTGAAATTCCTAAAAAGGTAAAACATAAATTGTAATATCAATGAATTTGGTCTCGGGTGATGCAACTCTTAGCAAAGGATATTCCTAATTACATTCTTCTTCCTACTGTACTACCATACTTACAGTATTGGAAAATAAGGTCCTTGATATTTTCTCTTATGCCTAATATATTTTCTTTGCTAACCTAAACCTCATACATTTGAATTTTCACTAAATGTCTAAAAATGCCACTTCAGTGACTCTTGCCCCAGCAACAGATATCTTCAAAGGAAATATCAGCATTTACCACTTCCTATACATTATGATTTCCTATACTTTTCAACATAATGCTTCCTGATTACAGTACTTTATGGCAAAATACTTAGTTCAAACAGTGTCACTGAAGATATCTTTCATTGCCTTCAAGCCCCTGGAGCCTCTGGTAGCGCAATCGGTTCAGCTCTTGTGTCATCAGGACTGCAGACGGACACATCACAACTTCGAATCCGGGGAGAGTGCAGATGAGCTCCATCTGTCAGCTCCAGCTCCCCATGCGGGGACATGAAAGACGCCACCCACAAGGATGGTAAAACATCAAAACATTCAGGCGTCCCCTAGGCAGACAGCCAATTCTCTCACACCAGAAGTGACTTGCAGTTTCTCAAGTTGCTCCTGACATGAAAAAAAAATATGCCTTCAAGCAAAAGCCAATACTTTTCAAAGATACCTGAGAGCTATGCTCAGGTGAAAGTGCTTTATAAGTGCAATAAGTGAACATGTTGGTGCCATGGACTTTATTCATTATTTACATTATTCATTATTTGCTTTGTTCATTCATATCCCCCTTTCCCCTGATAGGACCCAAGGTGACTAACAGCAGGTTAAAACCAAAGAAGTTGAAAACAATGCACAGTCAATAAAACTACAAATAAAAGATTTAATAAGTCAAAACATAATATTAAAAAATATTAAAGTGCATTAAAATTCACTATACAAACCCTCAGGAAATTTAATACTTGCACTGCACTGCATTAAAAGCCCAACCTTCCTCAGTATGTAAAAGCCTTGGAGTACGAAAATGTTTTGATGTGCCTCCAGAAGAAGAGGAAGACTGGGGCCATCCTGGCCTCATTGGGCAGAGAATTCGAAAGTCTCGGAGTAACCACCAAGAAGGCCCTCTCCCTCATTGCCACCAGTGGGACTGAGAAGCTGGTGGGACAGAAGGAAGAACCTCTCCAAAGATCTTAAAGCTTTAATAGGTTCATAAGATGACACAGCACCTACCTCCTTCTTGGTGTCAGACAGAACATAATTGCACCAAGGGTGATGACAGGGAGAGAAGGGGAGGCTATCGGCCAGATTGCCAAGGAGAACATAGTTGTGTCACTCCAGAAGACTAGAAATGTACGCAACATTTGTTCCTACTGTTTCTACCATTTCTTTCATGTCTTCTGTTTATTGGGAAGCACAAAACAAGAAGCCCCATCCCTGCACAAAAATCTGCTCGACATGAAAGCCTGCCTACAGTCTGCTTTTGTGTGCATCCGAACTTAGCTCCTTGCCTTGGAAAGAGTGTATGTGGTGGGGTGTGCAGGCAGGCCCGAAAAGCACACACCTGGCAGTGCCTACAGCTGAGCGCCTCTTACTCTGTAGTAGAAACAGCAGGTGCCAGGTAAGAAGAATATATGCTGGAAAGAGGAGTGAGTGGGTGGGAAGCCTCCCTGCCCAATGATCCAATTTTTTGAGCCTAAAATGAAAGAACTCAAAATAACCCTCCCAATTTCGGGAGGCTTACAAAAAACAGATTGGAGCCCCAACGAAAGCTGGGACACAAAACAGGACAAGGTTTTCCTTGAATGCACATGCCTATTGGAGACTACTGTGACATGGGGTGGGGGCTAAGGTGCCCATGGGGTGAATCATGTTTGGCATGGCTCAGCAGTAAGAACTCTTTCCCATCTCCAACTGAGGATGTCCCTATCAAGTCTCCATCCTGACTGGGCTTGCATCATGGATAAGTTTAGAAAACATAAGGGTGGTGGTTACAGCTGGAGCCGGGTCTACATTGCCCTATATCCCAGGATTTGATCCGGATTATCTGCTTATCTCAGATTGTCTGGCAGTGTAGACTCATATAATCCAGTTCAAAATTGATGATCTGGGATCAGATCATGGTCTATAGGGCAGTGTAGAAGAGTCCTAAGTCAATCCATTTGAAGACATTCACAGGCAATCCAGAAAAAAGAAGAGAGGTCAGAGGGGCAAGATTTCAGCCCATCCAGAAGCGATTAGACAAAAACCAGTAGCCTAGATCTTCAATGCCCAAAAAGTGGTAAGTTAAATAGTGGTTAAATGTAGCCAGTGCAGAAGCACACAAAAGCCAATAACACCGTCAGTCAATTATGTTGAATGGTTGCAAGCAATGAGGTCTGCTGGGAGATTTATAAGTGGCTGTCTTTGGATGCTAGGTGTTTGATTGGTTGTCATTTCCTATGAAGTGATGTTGATACCCTCTCCCTTTGCTGAACTTCAATGGGCAAGGCTGACTCTTCGTCATCCATCAAGTCCTCTTGAGGAGAAAGTCCCTCAGCTGCTTCAGGGAGGAAGCCACTATCTGAGCCAGGAACTCCTGGCAAGCCAACTCCTCCACATCAGAGTCCTTAGATTCCAGAAGGTGAGTTATGATACTGTATATATACTCTGAAAGAATGTGTGAATAGTGCATAATATGTTCATCTCCCTCTTATTTTCAAGTTGGAGAGAAGATTTGAAATAGATTGCTTTGGCTTGTTTGGCTCATTTATATGGCAATGCCTGATGGGGGATGGCTGGGCACAGCTAGAAACAGCCGGCTGGAAGAAGTGGGTGGCAGTTCCATTAGAGCAAGGTTCGCAAGGAGCCTCTTCAAGCCAAGAAACCAATTATTTGAGCCTCTCTCCTTGAGACAAAAGAAAAATAGCAGAGCTTGCAAAGTTCACCCTATTGGACCCTAGCATCATTCATCGATGAAACTGGGCAGGCAAGAAACATTATATTACTTTAAAAAATGCAGAGATTACTTACATTTCCTGATCACAACCACCAGTTCTCCCTGAAGTGTAATGCTGTTTGAAACTCCCAGGAAAGCTGGGGGCTCTGATCTGGAGTATTCTGGCTCATTGCTGGAAATGAGCTAGGCAAACAGACTCAAATGTATTTTAAGAATAAAATGAATCAATGTGTCAGTGGCTGATTGTAATCAAGCTAGTGATATGTCATTCTCTCCTCCAGCACACGTCTTTAAAATCTGGTAGGGATAGAAATCCTGTGAGAAAGTGTTGTTGTTAGCTACCAGCAAGTTGACTTTGGCTTACTGCCACCCTATGAATGAACCCCCAGTTCTTGCGGACTGGCTTCCTGATGTAAATAAAAGTCTATCCATCCGCAATCCTCTTTTCTTACTGCTTCTTCTTTACCAAGTATCATTGTCTTTTCTAATGAGTCCTCCCTTCTCATAATACAGCCAAAGTACAACCGTCTCAGTTTAGTCTTGGGTTCTAGGAAGAGTTCAAGCTTGATTTGTGGTAGGACCCATTTATTGGTCTTTTTAGCAATCCAGGATATCCAGGGAACCACACTTCAAATGAGTCAATTTACTTCCTAGCAGTTTTCTTCACTGTCCAGCTTCCACAACTATATACAGAAATGGAAAATACAATGGGTATAGATGATCCTAACTTTGTCTTCAATGATATATCTCGGCCTCTCATTGAACATTGAGAAAACCAAAGTGCTATTCCAGCAGTCGCCAACCAATCCCTCTGTAATGCCAGAAATACAGCTTAATGGTATAACATCAGAAAATATCAATCATTTCCGCTACCTTGGCAGCGACCTCTCCATAAAAGTCAATATTGACACTGAAATACTACACCTCCTGAGCTCTGTGAGTGCAGCATTTTTCCCAATGAAACAGAGAGTGGTTGAGGATCAGGACATCTGTAGGGAGACAAAGCTGCTTGTTTATAAAGCTATTGTCCTCCCAACCCTGTTATATGACTGCAAAATGTGGACTGTCTATAGAAGTCACACTCAACTCCTGGAACAAACCATCAGTGTTGCCTCCGAAAAATCCTGCAAATTTCTTGGGAAGACAGGTGGACAAATGTCAGCGAACTGGAAGAAGCAAAAACCACCAGCATTGAAGCAATGCTCCTACGCCATCAATTCCGTTGGATTGGCCACAGTCACTGTCTTCCAAAGCAGTTACTATACCCCCAACTCAAGAATAGAAAACATAATGTTGATGGACAGGAAAAGAACTTTGAAGATAGACTTAAAGCCAACCTCAAAAACTGTGGAATAGACATCGAGAACTGGGAAGCCCTGGCCTTTGAGCGCTCTAATTGGAGATCAGCTGTGACCAGCAGTGCTGTAGAATTTGAAGAGGCATGAATCGAAGGTGAAAGGGAGGAATGTGCCAAGAGGAAGGTATGCCAAGCCAACCCTGACTGGGACTGCCTTCCACTTGGAAACCAATGTCCTCACTGCAGGAGAACATGTGGGTAAAGAATAGGGTTCCACAGCCACCTATGGACCCACCGCCAGGACACTACACTTGGAGGACCATCATCCTCGGGCTACAAGAGATTGCCTAAGCAGCAAAGCATATCTTGACACTTCAAGTCCAGTTTAGTGTTCCTTCACAGCTGCCCTTCCCAGTCATGGTCTCCTGGTTTCTTGACTGCAATCTTCATTATGATTAATGGCTCAGAACAAGGTATGGAGAATCTTGAACATTTGTTATCCTTCACTTTTATTGCTTCCTTCACCCCATTGAGCCATTTGGAGTTAGTAAAATTAAGAAGAAACTTTCTCACAAGGAGAGGTGGATATATTGCCAGTTGCTGTTGTTTTATGCCTTCAAGTTGACTCTGATCTATAGTGGCCTATCCATAGAGTTTTATTGACAAGGTTTGTTTGCATGTATACCATCTAGTGGGTTATCATGACCAAGCAGAGATACACATCCTGGACCTCTAGAGCCCTAAGATACATCTACACTGTAGAATTAATGCAGTCTGGCGCCACTTTAACTGCCATTACTTTTTTGTGTGTGCGTGTATCAGGAGCAACTTGAGAAACTGCAAGTCGCTTATGGTGTGAGAGAATTGGCCATCTGCAAGGATGTTGCCCAGGGGACGCCTGGATATTTTGATGCTTTACCATCCTTATGCTGACTGGCACAACCTGGGGATCACAACCAGACACATTGAAGACATCTGCCCTTGCGCTATGCTACTCTGCTGCTGAGTATGCATGCCCAGTGTGGAACACATCTCACCACACTAAAACAGTAGATGTGGCTCTTAATGAGACATGCCGCATTATCACAGGGTGTCTGCGCCCACACCACTGGAGAAATTACACTGCTTAGCCGGTATTGCACCACCTGACATCCGCCGGGAAGTAGCAGCCAATAGTGAAAGGACCAAGGCAGAGACATCTCCAGCTCATCCCCTGTTTGGGTATCAGCCAGCACGTCAACGACTTAAATCAATACATAGTTTTCTTAGATCTACAGAGACACTCGCTGGAACACCTCAGCAAGCGAGAGTCCAAAAGTGGCAGCCCAAACCCAGCACCTCAATCCATGGGTGATACCAGATGAGAGACTCCCCCCTGGGCACTCAGAAGACTGGGCGACTTGGAAGGCGCTGAACAGACTGCGCTCTGGCACCACGAGATGCAGAGCCAATCTTAAGAAATGGGGCTACAGGGTGGAATCCTCGGCATGCGAGTGTGGAGAAGAACAAACCACAGACCACCTGCTGCAATGCACCCTGAGCCCTGCCACATGCACAATGGAGGACCTTCTTGCGGCAACACCAGAGGCACTCCAAGTGGCCAGATACTGGTCAAAGGACATTTAACCAACTACCAAATTTGCAAAATCTGTATGTTTTTTTTCTTTTTCTTCTTAATCTGTGTGTTTGTTTTGCTCTGTTAGAATTGTAATACAATGGTATGGTTGCTGATGACACGATAAATAAAACCATCCTTATGGGAAGCTTCTCTCATGTCCCCTCACGAGAGCTGGAGGTGACAGGGGGACACATCCGCGCTCTCCCCGGATTTGAACCTCCAACCTGTCAGTCTTCAGTCCTGGCGGCACAAGGGTTTAACCTATTGTGCCTCCGGGGGGTCCATGACACGATGCTATCGAATTGTGGGAGTTGTGGTTTTACAAGGCAATTAGCTTTCTTTGCCAGAGTTCTGGTACCTCACCAAATGGCAAGTCCCAAGGTTGACTAATATTGAGCCATGGCAGTTAAAGTAGTGCCAAACTGCATTAATTCTACAGTGTATCTGCACTCTTAGCTCAATGCTCAAACCACTGTACTTTGCTGACTGGACCTTCATTTAGTTGGGTATTCTTCTGGTTCTGATGGAAATGACTGTAGTCACCAGCTGAGTTCAATCTACAATCAGACTCCATTCATGAACTTGAAATAATTTTTTAAATTGCCCTTGACTGTCTTGCCCACTTTGGGGGCTGAAAATCCAGCGTGGGCTTTCACCTGTAGTATAAGCTGGACAGGTGGCAAATTGATTGAGATGCAAAATTTGCTTAGGGGAGGCATCTAGTCAGAATTTTCTTCTGTTCATCTGCATTATTCTCTGCCTTCGTTCTTGTGGGTTCTCCCTTCTTGCTCTCACCGAAGCAACTTTGCTAGTTTGCTTATTGGTTGACTTATATACTTCCCAATTGATAAATGCCCTGGGGTTGGTTTACAAGCATAAGACCACAAAGCAATCAATAAAATCACAACCAAAACAAATACAGAGCCGAGAAAGTATCAAAATGCTAAGATATTAGGCTGCTAAGAGTGGCAATGAGACTGAAACAGTAAAAGCAGAAACAAAAGTGGGAAATGAATAGGGAAAAAACACAATATGATCTGGAACATCCAGCCCTTTGCATTTCATTTTGAGGTGAGATGCAATACCACTCTTCCATTATCTGAAAGGCCAGAAAGCTGAACGAATGTTGATGTAATCCACACTTCCTCGGGAAAATTGGAGAGTTTAAAGTGAAAAGAGATTAAATTGATAGGCTAAGAAATCCCATCCATGCATATTCCAGTACAAACCAATCTGGACTAATGCACATACCTTAATGCAATTGCCCAACAGCTTTTGTCTTTATCCAAATGTTGGGTATAAGAAGTTATGGACTTTTAATTAGTGATCCCACACGCTGACACCAATATATAATAGGTAGGGACTTATTTGAGTAACAAATCCCAACGCTGTACCACCACTTTAAATGGAATGTGGCTTAAATAATTAAAATCAAAACTAAATAAGCTGGAACGCTCTTCTGGCCGAAAATCTTTCAAACGGACACTGGCTACTACCACACTTAAAAGAAATGTTTAGCTTTTGGCTTGGCTTGAGGTATCTTTAGGCTAGAATGGGCTGGATTCGCACTCAGGCTCTGTATTCTGAGGTAACAATAAATACACTCTGCCACCATTTAACTTGGCTTTCTTCAGTAAACTGCTTTAAAACTTCTCACACAGGCACTCTTGAGTCAGTTGTTGTGAACAAATAACAATGTTGTTTATTTGAGAGAACTTGAACAATACAGGCACTAGCTTAGCGGTTGCAATATTGAATAAAATATTGTGGTTACTTTCAATAAACACTTAACACTTAGTTTCAATAACTCTTCTCCACTCCCTCAAGAAACTAACAGGTTTTCCCACTGTCTAGTATTCTTGAAACTCCACATCAGTGGTTCTCAACCTGTGGGTCCCCAGATGTTTTGGCCTTCAACTCCCAGAAATCCTAACAGCTGGTAAACTAGCTGGGATTTCTGGGAGTTGTAGGCCAAAAACATCTGGGGACCCCAGGTTGAGAACCACTGCTCCACATAGACAGCCCTTTCCTTCTGGATCTGTTTCTCCACTCCACCAGTTATTCTTTCTAATAGCTATAAATCTTCTCACTAACTAAATCTGCTGACGAACTGACCAACTTCTGGCTTCTCTAACTCTGTTCCTCCAACACACACACTCCCTCTCTCCTTCATTCCAAACCCAATCTCCAACTCCAACTAAGCTGTCAGATTTTAAAACGCACCCTTAAATACATTTTTTCTTTTCACAAGTTAAGCTCCGCCCACTCTCTCCCAGCCAATCACAAACTCCCCACATTTCCCTCCAGACTGCTCCTAAGCACTGCCCCCTCTAGGAAATGAGTTTCTGATGGATGCCCCCAGGCACCCTCCTAAAATGGTTGCTGGGCCTTTTCCTGAGCTTACCTCCTGGGCTTTCCCTGGCCTAAAACGGTAGGGAATTCATCACATTGGGGCACATATTTTTGTTCACAAAGTCTATTAAAATGTGTGCTTTGAGGGGAAATACATAATTGGGAGGAAATGTATTATTCTTCATGGATTGAATGGCCCTTGTGGTTTCTTCCAACTTTATGATTCTATGTACAACTAAACACAAATGTGAGGGCATTATTTTAAATTGAAGAGTAATGAAGAATTGAGAAGGAACAGATATGGGTGAAGTGTCCCTTTAAGAGACATGCCCTGGATTGTAAATTATAACAGCAGCACTCCTTTTTCTTTTGAGTGGGTGTCATTTTCACGTTCCAGTTAGAACTGATTAGTGTCTATGTGGTACAGTAACTATAAGCTGTCACGCTGCCCTGATTTTTGAACAAATTTGGTGTCTGAAGTGACCCCGAGGAAAATGAAGGAAGCCAATACAATTTACCAAGGCTTACCATGGTTAGTGGTCTGTTCGAAGCCAGTGTGGTGCAGTAGTTTGAGTGTTGGACTACAACTCTTACAACCAGAGTTCAAATCCCTGCTCAACCATGGAAACTTACTGGGTGGCCTTCGGCAAATGTCACACTTCCACTTCTCTACACTGTGGAATTAAGTTTGACACCCATTTAACTGTCATGGCTCAAATGCTATGGAATCCTGAGAATCTTGTAGTTTTACAAGGTCTTTAGCCTTCTTTGCCACAGAGAGCTTCCCCAAAGCTCTGGAGCAGACCTACACTTCAGGGATGTGGTAAACTGTGTGGCTGGATCTAAATTGGAACCAGCCCCACTGCTTTCTCTGACTCTGAGATGCAGGGACAGTTGATGGCACCTACCTAAGTTCTTCTGTTGTCCTCCTCTTCTGCCCCCCCCCCCCCCCCCCCCCCCCGGCTAAGAGGATGCCCTGCAAATATCAACAGTAGTGTCCCAGGATGGCTAGGAGCTCTTTGGAGACTCGTGGCTACCACAACAACAGTGGTTAGAGCACATGTGTCAAACCCACCATGTCATTTTAAGTGGCCCTCCAGATACCTGACTACAACTCTGTATTCCTCATCATTAGACATCATGACTAGAGCTGATGGGAGTTGTGATGCAGTACATCTGGAAGACAGCCGTTCTGCTTAGTCAGGAGAGTGGGGTTTCAATTTAGATACGAGGCTTGCAGATATGCTGTCTGACTTTCTAACACCCTTTAACCTTTCCCCAACCTCAGAGCCACAAGTGCGATAGGGTTGCAATTATCATTATTCTCAATCCACATGGTGGATAATCAAAAGTGATAGGAGTTGTCGTTCCGTAACATCTGGTAACCCAAATTGGGTAAAAACTAAAGAGGATCAACCACTATGTAAAACAATTATAATTGGCCCTCTATATCCACAGATCATCTATCCACAGATTCAATGGTCCTTTGAACACAACCATAAGGGTGATGTGGCCCTTGATGAAAATGAGTTTGACACTCTTGAGTTAGAGATCTTGATTTAAGGAGCAAATGCTACAATGCCTTGGAGCAGTGTTTCTCAAATTCTGCTCCTCCGGGTGTTTTGGACTTCAGCTCCCAGAAACCTAAGCCAACTTACTAGGCTTGTGCATTTTGGGTGAACCTTGATCCATTTCTGCTGGCTGGATTCTGGAAGACCCTAATATCCATTTTTGTGCGCCTCTCAAAAACAGGTGGATTTTTTGGTTGGCAGCCAAAAGCTAGATCCAGCCCATTGGTGGAAATGGAGAACTTATGAGGCTGCCCTTGCCATTCCTGGGTGCTACTCTAACTGAGCTACATCTTGAAAGGTAGAGAAAGGACTTTTGGAGCAAGAGGTGGAGAAACATCCCTTAGAGTTTATATCACAGAGGGGTCAGGCTATGTAGACACAGAAGAAGGATGCTTCAGGTCACTCAAATATTTATTACTACTGACCACTGTGAGGTATTCTTCACTCTTCAGTGCTGAGTGTTATTGCATTTCTAACAGACAAGGCCACCAAGGTAAGCTAAACTGGCCCCACTGGACGGTCAGGACCCTGTCCCACCACCACCACAGCAGCCAGGCAGGAAAGCCACCACCGGAGCTGGTGTGGAGTAATACACTCACATTAATTCCTATGTTTCTGCCTGTGTTGATGCACCCACACCTTGCCTATAAAGGTCTGTCCCTAGGCACTTCACCCCATGCATCTGTGGAAGTAGACTTACGTCTATGAAAGCTTATGCTACTGACTTGGTTCTCTGAGTTGCTCTCTAAGGTGCTACAAGATCTCTTTGCTTACTAATATTCCAGATTCAAAGACAGCAATGTCTTTGAATTCTCCTCCCACGTAGTAATGTCCACAGTGGCCTCCAGTTATCATAAGACTTGGGAAGGCTGCTGTGTGATTCCCAGCATCTGTTTGTTAACATTCTGGTTGAATTACCCTATCGCCCCCTTTCTTTTGATTTGATGGGGGAGATTTTGAAAAGGGAGAGGAAGCATTTGGCATTGCCAGCCAGTCTCAGCTACTCATCCGTGCCAGACCATGTCTGCAGTTGCTAAGCAACCATCAACTCCCCCCCCCCTTTTTTTCCATCCTTCTCTGAAAGGAGCTCACTTGGGATGAGATGGCAAAGAGTCATATAAGGGGAGCATATATTTGAAATAATAAATGGACTCAAAACAGAAGTCCAGAAATTGCTTAACGACCAGGTTTAAGATTTCAACAATAGAATCTGTCTGGATGCTCACTCTGCTCCTAAACTGAGCAAACCTGGAATAAAAACTTCTTGAGGACACTGAGCCGTCTGAGCTCATTTGTTTCATTGCATGTTGGTTAGGGTTGCCAGAGTAGAAACTGGACCTGTCTCCTTTACCTGTAATGGTTGTGTCGAAGAGGGAATTTCAGCAGATGTGGCTTGTCATGCAACCAGGTAACAAGAAGCACCTGCTGAAATTCCCTCTTCCACAGCATCATTAAAGGTGTAGGAGACAGAAAGGGAGGTGACATCTTCGAACAGAGACACAGATAGTGAAATGAACATTATAGGTGTGTTAACCCTTCCCTATGCTACCCAAAACTAAAAAATAAGACAGCCATTGAGCTGGAATTACACTTTAAAAATGTATCTGTTCCCATTTACAACTTGTGAACAAACCTACAGAACCTATCTTGTTTGTAACCAGCGGTCTGCTTGTACTCAAATATGCCTCAGCTGTGCCATTTTAGTAGATATGGTTCCCATAAATCCTTTGCCATCCCACTTTTTCAGCTACTTTTAAAATGTACCAGTTTCTCTCTAAAGGTGGTCCCAGTGGTGATCAGCACACTAGGTGCAGTGCCTAAAGACCTTGGCCAGCACTTAAAAGCAATTGGTGCTGACAAAATTACCATCTGTCAGCTGCAAAAGGCCATCCTACTCGGATCTGCATGCATTATTTGTCGATACATCACACAGTCTTAGACACTTGGGAAGTGTCCAACGTGTGATTCAATACAACAGCCAGCATAGTGATCTTGTTTGCTGTGTACTAATCTTGTTGTGTATCAAATAATGATGATGATGATGTTTTCTAAAGCTACAGTGCCCTGTTTGGTTAACTAGGGTAGATGTTCAGTTACTAAAATTCCTGGCTCTGGAGCTTCAG